GCAGTACTCCAGGTGGGGTCTCATGAGAGTGGAGTAGAGGGGCAGAATCCCCTCCCTCGCCCTGCTGGCCACACTTCTTCTGACGCAGCCCAGGATACGGTTGGCCTTCGGGGCTGCGATCGCACATTGCCGGCTCATGTTGAGCTCTCATCAACCAGCCCCCCCAGGTTCTTCTCCTCAGGGATGCTCTCCAGCCATTCCCCGCCAGCCTGGATTTGTGCTTGGGATTGCCTTTATTGTATTTAAAACTTTCCTGTGATGGATACCGAGATGAATTTGTTCGGGCTGTAATTGTCTCTGTGTCTCGAAAGAGGAAGGGGGATACTTGATGAGATGGGAGGACCCGGGAGCATCACTGCTGCCACCACTGCTGGCGCTGGAGCAGAGTGAGACCGCAGCCACTCACCGTCCCGCATCCGCCACTCCCAGCAGGCGGCAGCCCCAGCCGAAAGCCGCGTAATTCTCAGCACCCGGTCATTTCTCCTCCTGCGACTTTATCTGCTTTGGGCTCATTTCAAGCACATCTCTGCCATAAAACAACCCCAGCGTTTGGCAGAAGCAGCACGGAGCTACAGGAAATCTGTTGGCAGCTGTCAGGAAAGCCGTCGCCTTTCCCTCACCCTTCAATTTTCAGGTGCCTCTCTCCATGTTGTTTCAGTTAAAAGTGGTATTTCTGAGACAAAGATGATTAAGTTTGAGAGGAACTGGATGAAGGCTGAGGTCTGGAAAGCAGAGCCCGAACGAGACGTTAGAGCAGCTGTTGAAGTGTCCCTGCCGTCATGGAACTTGCAGAGCAGTTTTCATCAACAGATCAATCTTCTACTTGCTGCTACCTTTTTTTAAAAAATCAATTTCTGGCCTCAATATTTTCCTGGGTTTTGCACAAAGGCCAGTGCTTGTGCCGATATTTCAAGGAGCAGCTTATTCAGGTGTTTGGTTTGGTTTGTTTTTTTTTTTTAAATAATGATGGAGGAGCAAAAAAACAACCCTAGGGGAAGAAAGTTCCACTTGGCACCTTCAAAAAAAGGCTCCAACCTAAAGAGATGACATTGAAAGCAGCAGTTCGTAGCACAGAGAGGCTCTGATGCCCGAGGAAGCGAGTTAAACGAAATGACGACTAAAATTTCATACTCCTGGGAGACGGCTGTGCCGTGCAGGAGGTATCGGAGTGCAGAAGCGTGTGTCCTCTGTGCAAACGTTGGATGCGGCGCTTAACCAAGACATCCCTGCAATTTGCTCAAAGACAGACAAACATTTTCAGGGCCCACCGGGATGTCCCATTGGAGACACCTTTTCAATAGGAAACAGCATCTTTCCGGCTGAGTTCTGCCCTGGTTTTGGCCATAGAGCCCCTGGAAACCGTCGCCTCCAGCCGTACCTGCGCCGCCCGCTCAGCAGCCGCCTCCCCTCCGCTCACTGCCCCTTCTCTGGAAACTACCACCAAAATAGTCATTTAACCTTCCGCAGCGTGAGCCGGCTCATTGCGCTGCCGACGTAAGTACTGAAAGTGGTTGTATCTGCTCAGAGATGGAAACTCCGAGGTCAGAGTCACAAAGTGAAGGACAAAACTCACCCTCTTTCATTTCTGGAAAGAGAAGTTGGGGAAATAGAGGGAAAGAAGAGCTGAGGCACCAAACATGCGCTTATTGGCCAAGCTGGGGCAAGAAAGGGCTTTGCCTTCCTGGTTTTTTTCTTGAATGAACACTGTGGAATGTGTTAAGGTTAAAAGGGGGACGCTGAGAAACTGCTGTATCAACTGTATGTATGCATTGAGGTTTTTTTTGGTTTTTTTTTCCTTCCCCTGGCAAATTTGGAACAGCACTCTCAGTTTTGCCCAGACTCCTTCACTTCCCTTGGGAGCAAAAGTTTGACTAGAAACATTAACAGCCAGGGAAGCGTCTGGTTGTGAAATTATCCTTCCTGCAACCTAAACAGGGTCATATCGCTGCAGGGTTTGGGGCGGGGGGAGGAGGGCCCCGGG